CATAAAAGAAGTTCTTGTGCACGTAGTTCCAAATTATAATGAGTTTCCAGGAAATGTCACCAAAATGATGTTGGCATCACCAGGGTGTGTTTTTCAAGAATTCTTGCTAGTTTCTACTTTTCTTCCCAACTCTAGTTGAATAAGTCATTTTCTGGGATATGCTATTGGAACCAGGGAGGAGTAGCGTAAATGATAAAATCAGGTTCTCAGAAGTCCCCAGTCTAAAGCTTTCAGGGTTTGCATGTCCAGAATAACACTGGGACACTCTCCTCTCGACTGTGACATTTGTCATCACTTTGACTGAATCTATCCATGACTTTCTTACAGTTTCTAAGCAAGTCAGTATTTTGGGTCTTATGTTTTTAAAAGGTGAAAGACTTATATGATCTGAAGAGAACCCAGAGTATGGCCTTATATCTTTGATTGTCATCTCTCAAACTCAGTAGACAGTCTGGTATCAACAGAGTTCTTGGAAGACAAGAGATACCATCAAGGTACACAGAGCAGGACTCCACCCAAACACAGCTCCATCTGGGATGTTAGTGTCCATGCCCTCATCTATTTGGGGGGGGGGTCTCCTTTTCCTCTTGTACTGTCTTCACACTCATCCTAATGGCCTTGCCCTGTCCCCAGTCCGAACCTTGATGAGCTTCCATTGCTGGAAGGTGGCAATCAGATCTGACCAACCTGACACTGCAGCTTCACACCAGGCTGGCAAGTGGGTGTTTAGCACCTTCTGCTGGGAGAGGAGCTAAGCCGCAGAAACTAGCTTGGGTTACATTCCAGATCCAGCCAACTTGGCAGCCCTGTGGGGTCAAAGCTGTGTGTGAACAGCCATGAGTCCAGCACAACCAAAATGCATAAAACAGGGTGGCCCTAGAGCATTACACACTCATGGACAGGCACTGTTTAAAGTGTCGCATCTACAATCCATGACTTCAGCTGCCAGGTTCTTCCTAATATTCATCCTCCTACCTGGATTCCCCTCTCCACATCTCACCTTCTGCAACTGGACCCATCTTTCTTGCTAGTGTTGCTACTCAAGAAAGCTGAAGGCAGTCCACAATGGGGAGCACAAGTATCTTTTGTCCTTTCTAGTCTCAAGTCAAACTTTGACTGCATCAATCCTACCCATGGTTTGGGCATTGGAGTTATTGTAAGAAACTGGATATGGAGCATTAGTTCTAGAACAACAAGGAGTTCACTCTTGCCAGACATCTGAGTTTCATCAGAGGTTAGAGATGGATTCTCAGCTCTAGAACATCAAAGAGGTCACTCTTTCTGGATATTGGAGTTTTAGCAAAGGCTGGAAGTAGACGCTTAGCTCTAGAACATCAAGGTGATCTTTCTGGACATCTGAACTTCATCAGAGGTTGTAAATGAAGTCACAGCTCTAGAACATCAAAGCAATCCCTCTTACTGGACACCTGAGCTTCATAGTGTCTGAAACTGGAATCCTGGCTCTAGAACATCAAGATCTCTCTTTGTAGATAACTCCGAAGACGTTGTTCTGGACATCTGAGATTCATCAATGACTGGAGGTAGAGTCTCAGTTCTAGAACATCAAGGAAGTTCCTCTTCCCAAACAACACAGCTTCATAGAAGCTGAACTGGAGTCTGGCTCTAGAACACCAAGAAGTCTCTCTTTCTAGACAATTGAACTTCATCAGAGGCTGAAACTGGAGTCTTACTTAGCTCTAGAACAACAAAGCAGTCTCTAGATGTATGAGCTTCATTGGAGGCTGGAGATGGAGAATCAGCTCTAGAACATCACACAAGTCTCTTTTTCTGGACATCTGAATTTCAAAGGCTAGATGTGGTGTCTCAGCTCTAGAACAAAGAGTCTCCTCTTTTTGGACATCTCAGCTTCTTAGAGGCTGAAGCTGGAGTACTGTTTCTAAAACATCAAGGTAGTCTTTTTCTGGACATCTGTGCTTCATCAGAGGCTGAAACTGGAGTCCTAGCTCTAGAATATCAAAGAGGCCTCTCTAGACATCTGAGCTTCAAAGGCTGGATGTGGAGTCTCAGCTCTAAAACATCAAAGAGGCTCCTCTTTTCTGGACACCCAAGCTTCACCACAGTCTGCAGATGAAGTTATAGCTCTAGCACATCAAAGAGGCTCCTCTTTCTGGACATTTGCGCTTCATATAGACTGAAGCTAGAGTTATGGTTCTAGAACATCAAAGTCTGTAGACATCTGAGTTTCACCAGAGACTGGAAATGGAATCTCAGCTCTAAAAAATCAAAGAAGTCCCTCCTTCTGGATGTATGAGTTTCATCCAAGGCTGGAGGTAGAGTCTCAGCTCTAGAACATCAAACAGGTCAGTCTTTCTAGACATCTGAGCTCCATCAGACTCAGAATCTGGAGTCCTGGGCTCTAGAACATTAAGATCTCTCTTTCCAGACAGCTGAGCTTCATTAGAAATTGGAACTAGAGTTTCAGTTCTAGAACATGAACAAAATCCATTTTTCTGGACCTCTGAACATCACTGGAGACCATAGGTACAGTCTTGGGTCTAGAACACCAAGGAGGATAATCTTTCTGGACATCTAAGTTTCAAAGAGTAGCTGGAATTTTAGTTCTGTAAAGCCAAGAAGGTAAGTACCTCTTTCTGGACATCTGAGCTTCATCAAAGCCTGAAGATGGAGTTCTGGCTCTGGATCATCAAAGAAGTTTGTTATTGAATGCCTGAGCTTTGCCAGAGGCAAAGTTCCTGCTCTAGAATGTCAAGGAGGTCTTCTTTCTAGACATCTGAGCTTCATCGAAGGCTGAAGGTGGAGTCCTAGCCCAGATGTTCCTCTTTCTAGACACCTGAGCATCACTGGAGACTGAAGCCAGGGTCCTAGTTCTAGAATGTCAATGGAGTCCTCTTGTCAGGCATCTGAGCTTAAAAGGTGGGAGGCAGAGTCCTAACTCTAGAACATCAAAGAGTCCTTCTTTCTGAGAATCTGAGCATCATCAAAAGCTTAGAGGTAGTCTTGGCTCTGCATATCAAGGAGGTCTGTCTTTCTGAATGCCTGAGTTTTTCCAGAGCCTGGATCCAGAGTTCAAACTTTAGAACATCAAGGGTGCTTCAACTTCACTGGAAGATGGAGCTTGGTTTCAGCTCCAGACCATTAAGGAAGTCCTCTTCATAGACATCTGACTTTTATCAGAGACTGGAGCTGCAGTCTCAGCTCTAGATGTCAAGAAAGCCCCTCTTTCTAGACATCTGAGCTTTATCAGAGGCTAGAGCTGAGTCCTGGCTCTAGAATGTCAAGGAAACCCATCTGAACCCCATTGGAAGCTGTAGCTGGATTCCACTCTATAACATCAAGGAGGTCCCTATTTCTGGATGCCTGAACTTCATCAGAGTTCGAAGCTGGGATATCAGCTCTGGAAAAAGAGAGGACTCATTCTTAATGCCCAGGGTTTGTCAGAGACTAGAGCTGGGGTCCTCGCTCCAGGACATCAAGTGGGCTCCTCATTCTGGATAGCCAAGCTTCATCAGAGGCTGGAGCTCAGGTCCCAGGACTAGAGTCCCCGCTTGTATGCTCGAGGTTTGTCAGAGGGTGGAGGTGGAGTTTCTACTGTAGAATGTTAAGGAGATCTCTCTTTCTGGATATCTGAGCTTCATCGAAGGCTAGATCTGGAGTCTCAGCTCTGGGACATCAGTGGGAGACTCATTCTGGAAACTTGAGCTTTATTGGAGCCTCTGCTAACCACAAGCAGGACTCTTGGCGCCTCTTGGCTGAGCATGGAATCATCTAGTTGGGACATACTCTAGAAGCACTTCTTCCTCTTCTCACTGCTGTCTGGACTGTCTCTCAGCAGTCTTGGGTCTCTCATGCTGGACCATGGCCTGGTCCCTAAAGTTGTACTTTCAGCAAAGCAGTCATGCTCAGTCCTGTGCACTGACAGACGGACTTGCCTACAGGTCTCTTGAGGCTCCTCTCTATGAGGAGGAGGTGGAGGCAGGAAAGAGAAAGGAGAAGAGAGGTAGAAGAAAAAAGGAAAGAAAAGTATGGGGAGGAGGAAGAAGGAGAAGCAAAGAGGGAAGAAGAGGAAGCAGGGCATGGGCGGGGTAGTGGTAGTGGTGGCAACAGCTGTGGTGCTAGCAGTGGTAGTGGTGGCCATGGTGGCAGTAGTCGTGGTGGCAGCTGTGATGGTGGAGGCCATGGTAGCACTGACATGGTGGCAGCTGTGGTGGTAGTGGCTATGGTAGAGCTGGCCACAATGGTGGCGGTGGCCATGGTGGCAGCTGTAGTGGTGGTAGCCGTGGTAAGAGTTGGCCATGGTGGCAGCTGTGGTGGCAGTGGCCAGCCTCTCCCTCTTGACCGGGAGGGTATTCATGTCATCTGTTCCAGCAAAGCCAGGATCCACCTAAGCTCAAGCCCAGTATCCTCCCCCTGGATCCCCACTGCCTCTGCTCAGCCCCAACCACTTCTAATCAGGCAGCCTGACCTGCCTTCCCCTGTCAGTCAGTAAATGAAAGACCTATCTCCCCAAGATTGGCAGGAGAGGGTCTGAGGATCTGCCTCAGTGGCCCCCTCAGAGATCTGGTCAGGAGCCATTTTTATGGAACAAGGTTTGGCCCAGGGTTCCAGTCTGCTGGCCCATAGGGGCCATGACGACCCCTCAGCCAGGCCCCTGGAACATCAAGGAGAAGAGGTGGCAGAAGAAAACTCACAACCCTGCAGCAGTCCTCTTGGAGCTCCTGGGACCAGAGCAGCAACCCCCTCAGCCTCTAAAGCCAGACTTCCTCCACTTCCTGTTCTGCCTCCTTTCAAAAAGGAAACTGGCAACCTGGGAGCTCGAGGGGAAGAAGGCCAGGTGGGCACTTGTTCATCTAAACACACATCAAACACAGGACTTCCATGAGGCTGACTTCACTCCAGTGCCCCTGCCTCCATCACACTGCAAAAGGAAGTCCCCAAAGACAGAATGCCTGTCATTCCCCCCTCCTTGTATGAGTAGCACACCCATCACTACTTTGGTTAAGACAAAAAACATTTATTGAGACAAGTGGGCGTGCCAAGCCCTTTGGTTCTAAACCATATTGCAGCAGCCTCACAACAGTCCTGTGAGGTAGGTGTCCCGGCCTGTTTCATAAGTGAGGACAATGAAGAGTCAACAGCTCCCCGAGTCTCAGGGTTCATGGGGGATGATGGAGGTCAAGGCTACACGCCTGACCCCCAGGTCAGCGCAGTCCATCAGTCAGAGGGTGAGTCTCTATAAGGGGAGGCCCCGGTCCAGAGTCTTGGGTCCAGTCTGTCCCGTGGGAATGTGTGCAGGGTGTCCCCGTAGCTGTGGAGGCTGAGAGAGACACAGCTGCAGATGAAGTTCACCTACTCTTGGTCCCACTTGCCAGCAAGAGTTCTCATGCATTGGGCAGGCCGGGGAGGGAGAGGACAGACAGCCCTCTGCTCAGGAGACCTGGGCCATGTGGGAGAAGGCCTGGCTTCTGGGCAGCCATGGGGGCAGGGCAGCACCCAGCTACAGCTCCTGCCCTCACAACCCAGGTCTAGAACACCTGGCCTTTCTGAAAACTATCCCCAGGTCTTCTACCCAACCTATTACCTATTAAATGCTGGTGTTTACATAACAACTTCAGCCTCAGCCTCTGGGGAGCTTCTAAACATTCTCCCTAGACTTCCTCCCACTTTTGCCTCAACTTCCCCCCTCAACAAACCTATTGAATCTTGCTATTTAGAAGCAAACCCTTCCCTCCATCCCTGTCTCCCCAGGGCGGGCCAGGTGCTGCCCCCAAACCCTCCATTCTGCCCAAGTGTCATATGGACCAGCAATTTCAGGGAGCATGGAATATTCTGCACCCAGTGCCTGGTGGCCAACTCCACATAAATGCAGACCCCTCAGAAGGGTAGGACCTGGGGCATCTGTGTATCAGGTAACAAAACATTTATCTTTACACAAACAATCTCATTGGATCCCACAATAACCGTGCCAGGTAGGTATGACCATTTCCAGGGCAAACCTGCCCAGGCCACACATTTAGTAAGGGGCTAGGGTGACCTCAAACCCAGACCTTGGTTCTCATGAGCCAGCATTTATACAGGGGCACAGAGGGTAACATTGTCAGGACTGGAGCCATCAGGAGTGGAAACCATCACCAATCACTCTCATTTGTACAAGTGGGAAAACTGGAGCTCAAGATGGTTCAGATAGCCTGCCTAGAGCACTCAGCTGGACCCAAATGAGCAAGACCCCCAGAGCCACATCCCTGGGCACAGGCCCATGTTCTGTTCCACAAGCAGAGACTCCTCTGGGCCCCCACAGAGTCTTCACAGAGAAAACACACCCCACTCTTTAAATAAAAGTAGGTCCATCAGCCAATTTGCCTAACTCTTCCTATCCATTTAACCCTGCCCTCCTTTCAGGAAGCAACTATTAGATACCTACTAGTGCAGGAAGCAGGGCTGTACAAAGGGCCAGAGCAGCACAGTCCCCAGCAAGGGGTTCAAGTGCAGTTTAGCCATGGACTCACTAGCCCCCACTTTCTCTCCTGTCTCCCTCCCCAGGGTTCCCAAGAGTCCTCCATCCCTGGGTCACACACAGGCCTGGCCCAAGACCCATCCATGAAAGGACCTACACACAGACTAAAATTCCCTTTGATTTGCCTGTCGGTCCTTATTGTGGACCCCTCTGGAGCACGGAAGGAAGGCCCCTGTGCTTCCAAGTTGTCCTGGTCAGGGGACAGACATGGTGCAGAAGCCAGAGGCTGTACTGCAAGGACCCTTCAACAAAGCCTGGGGCAGGTAAAGGTGGGAACCTGGGCTTCTGGTGGTAGGAATGGTTGGGCAAGGGTGTGGCAGGCAGAGTCACCAACAAAAGCTCAGACTCCTGACAGGAAGCCAGGTTGACAAGCCTAAGGACCATAAAGGTATCAGGGCCTAACCACTGAGCTTTGAAAGACAGAGGTAAAAGGAGGGAACAGGGATCCTCTGTGGATCCAAGACAGGTGTGGGGATGTAAGAGCAGATTACTGCTCCTTACTCCTCCCTGCATGCTCCTCCCTGCCTTGGAACTACTGTGCACATGGTGGGGATGTGCTAGGGTGGGCAGGGGTAAACCTGAGTATCCACAGGCCTCTTTGGTGGAGTCCAAAGAGCTGTTTACACAGGACTAATCAGCCCTGGCTCTGACACCCAGCTGTCCCTGCCTCTCAGTTTGCCTATCAGTAAAATAGGCTCACACTCCAAGAACAGCAGAAAAGTACATAAGATCCCCAAGCTTTGTGGGCAGCCAAGAATGATATGGAAGACTGACTTCCTCAGCCCCTGACCAGAAAAAGAAGGGTGTAAGGGGATCAGGGATGGGGGCCTTCCCTCTAAACGATGGGAGGCGTTTTATAGCCTCAAAAACTCCCCTCTATTCTTCTTTCTAAATTGCCCCCATTGTCCTGCCTTATCTTACTAACCCAGAAGGCAGGACAAGGGGGCAGTGAAGGGGTGCATGCACAAATGCCTGCAGGTACACATCACAACACCCAAAGCAGCGGCTCAACCAGCCTCAGTCTGCACACAATAAACAGCGGTCACAGTGGAAAGGCAGGGAGAGGGAAACCTGGGAAGTGGAAGAAGTCATCACTCGTCAACCAAATCAAATTTTACCCTGGGCCCCCACAGCCAAACACCCGTAGCCTGCTCCATCCATGTTTCACAGTCCCACTGACTGTTGGAAATACACTCTTAGCGTAAAGTCAATGCTGGCATTTTTATTCACAGCCCTTGACCATTCCCCAATGACATCAGTATACGTGTGCACCATTACAGTGGACCAGCCAGCCCTTAGCCCTCACAACAACCCTGTGAGGTAGGCTTTCTAACCGCAACACCTTAGAGAAAAGGAGACCAAGGCTCAGAGGAGCAAAGTGACTTGCCCCACACTGACGACAGTCAGTGACTTGAAGGTCTCCCAGATTCCAAAACCTGGGTGTGTTGGAACAGAAACATAGTCTCTCTCTAGACAGCTAAAGTCCCATTGCCTGACACCTAAATCAGAATCCTGGTTTGCAAACAACAGAGAGCCACTAAACACAATGTGACCATTGTTAACAGATTAATTCAGAGCAAAACAAAATCTCTCAGAGGTTAGAGCATCTGCCAAAAGCAATTGGTTACAATTTCTCTAGCCCATCCACTCAACCCACCATGGAAGGTGAGCCCCTGCCACTGGCCAGGCACTGTGTTAGGCACCAAGACTACAGGCATCAGAGCCCAAGTGCTATTGCTGGTGAGAGAGGACATCAGGAAGGGGACAATGGAGTGTCTTATCAGAGCTAATGCGAACCAAATATGCTACTGGGAAAGGACTTTTGAAGGGGACATAAGTAGGTGCCGCCCACAGGCCATACTCAGAGGCAGTACTCAGCCTCAGCGATTAGAAAGCAAGCCAGGTATTTCCCACCCTTCACAGAAGTGGGTGTGAATGTGTGCCCAAGGGTGAGAAGAGGGCCAGGGCATCGCTTAAGGAGACCCCAGTCCCTGGCTTGAAAGTTCCTGCCAAAATTACCCCTATCTAATCTTAAAATGTCACACAAATTGAGTATTGTACGCCACAATATTCCTTGCATATTCAGAAAGTCAATTTCCCATGAAGCTGACAGAGGGAGGCCATCACTCCCAGCCCTGGGTCCCCTGGCCCACCCCCAGGGACACACACACTACCCTTCTGGAATCACAGTCAAAAGTCCGGTTACACTGACCCTCACAACAGCCCTGCGAGGTGAGCACCATAGTCTCCCCCTCCCCTTCCCCCCATAAAACAGACTCAAACTCTTATGGGACATTTCAACCACACAATTTGTCCAGTTCCAGGGTCCTGGCTTAGCTCACTACAGCTCCTCCCCATGCAAGGAATAGAAGTCAGAATTCTAGGCAGAGCTCCCAGCCTTGTACCTCTTCTCACCCCACCCCCAAAAGCAGAAGACCGAAGGAAGGTCCCACTTGGCCTGGAACCTGCACAAATAATTAGAGCTACAATGAGGGTTTGCAACTTATTGCATGCCTCGCACGCCAGACTCTGCCAATGGATTGTTCTGCCTGGACCCCCACCTGGGGCATGATTCTTGTCATCTGCACGAGCAATCATCCCCTGCAATTTTCTCTAAATAGAGCTGAACATTAACTAAGCTCAAAAGGGGCTGAAATGGCTCTCAGGTTGCCTCAGTGTAAGATCAGAGCACCCTAATGCCTTGAAAATCTGCTCACAGCCAGCCGACCCCACTCTCCACGGGGCCTCTTAGAGGTATGGGCTGTGATTTCTCAGCACAGTTTGCTGATTCCTAATCAAGCTCGGTTTGTAAGGAACAAAGTCAGAGAGAGCAATCAAACTTGGAATGGAACTGGGATCTATGAGTTTGAGCTGAGTCAAGGATCTCGCCTTGTGCGGACACAAACATGGCCCCTTTACATGCCTTTTCTTTCAAAAGGCAGTCAGAATGAGTCCTTGTGAGCCAGCTCTAGTATAGCACTAGCTAATTTTTCAAAATGTTGACTGGAAGAGAATGAATGAAGGGATGAAGGAATGAACCGATGAGTCACAACCACTGCCGTCTGGTGGAAGAAGCTGCAAGGCTGAAGGCAAAGCTCATGGCAGGGACCATGCACCAGGCAGGGTGAGGCCTGAGGGGGCATCTCCAATTGTGGGTGGGAAGGCTCAGCCCCGGCCTGCTCTGGGACCCTGACCATGGATCACAGTCGCAGTGTAGGATGTGTGGAGAAGCACCATGGGGAAGAAGCCATGGGAGTGACCGTGGCAGATGAGATCCAGGTGGGATGTGCTCAGAGCAGTGACTGGAGGAGGAAGCTACAAAGAAGGGTGTTCGCTGCATGACCACAGCCCACAGCGCTACACAGCCTGCCCAGGATGAAAAAGGATTGCTTTGAGGAAGGAAAAGGCCAGAAGCACCAAAGTCAAGAAATGTAGGCCGAATGCATGGATGGATGGATGGCTAAAGTTATGCTGAAAATCACCGCAGGCCACCCAAGCTTCGATGCCAAGATAAACATGGGTGAGGCGTTCAAACACAGGCAGACACGCTCAGTGCTATAGTAGAGGGGTCTGTGGGAGGAATTGGCTCTCTACAGAAAGAGAAGAATGCTATGGAAAGTGAGAGCAAGGGCGAGCCCTCCTTGGGTAATATCCCTAAACAACTGTGACTGGCCTGTGCATCCCGGCTAGCTTTGGGGTAAGGCATGAGGGACCATCCAAGAACAGCAGTGGGTCCATCAAATTCCAGATCATGGGATGGAATTGTCTGCATGAAGAAACATTCAGAGATTCTCCACCACTCC